AGCGTAATTCTCGTCTTGTCTTATAAATTTCGTTCATATTTTTACTTTGTTAAAACGGTAAAAATTCTTAAACATAAAACTTATGAACTTATTTTTGTGTACAAATAAAGTAAAATTAAAGTAAGATTGACTGATAGCATATGATGCTTTTGAAACAAATAAGGTAAAATTAAACAAGATCTGATAATTTTCTTAAAAATTTTATGAGTATTTTCAGGCAGTTAGTTTTTAAAATTATTATAACATAACAAGACGATCATTTATTTGATTATATGATCATTAATTATTAACATTACAAGATGATTATTTATTTTAGTAATTCATAAAATTCGGAGCATAAACTTTTTTGAGTTTAATGAGGGAAAAAAAAAGATAAACTCCGGAAGCACTCAGCAACATAATTTTATATTACGCCCAAAGGAGCGTTTTTGTAACGTTTTGTAATGTTTTTGTAACGTAATACCTTTATTTATTAAACATCATGTTCTTCGCAAGTAAACCACATAAAATTCAATTCAAGAACAATATCACAAAATATTTGAAAACATGGTATATCTCTTAGAAATTTCCGTGCTGTTGGAGATAAAAATGTTATTTTCCTGTACAGGTGTTGCCATTGCTTGCTTTGAACTCATTGAGTTTCTTCAATCAAAAACTTCGTTAAAATTTTACAAAATATGAAATGGATTAAAACAAATTCGAAATTAGGTCGTGCAGGTTGCCCATGTTCGGGTGGAGGGATTACGTTGTTCAAAATTTGATGGCTTTAGATACCGTCCCTTTTTCCACAAGTGCGAGAAAACATACATACATTCATGCAGATTTCTTCATTATTTAATGTCTTTAAATATAATACAGGGCGATAATATTTGGTGGCAACAGTTTGCAAAGTGAAGCGGACATTTATAGTGAAACAAAGCAAAATGCAGTTTCGAAACTAATAGCTTTTCCGAGCTGCCGCCTCTTTGGGCTAATAAAATAAATTAACAATAAATAAGAAAACTTATGCAGAACTAGACATAAATTTAAAACATAATCACTATTAAAATACTAGCACAATTAATTATTACAGTTAAATACAATTTTTAACATTATAATAAATGCATAAAAATTATTAAAGTGTTAAAAGTTTTTATCACTATGATGTATTATGAAATATTATTGAAATAAAACTTCTTTGTAGAATATTATTAAATATATTCAGATATAATTTTAAAAAAGCAGTACAAATAAGAATTTTAAGCAAAAACTTTCAAAAGTTCATTTTTTCAATTTTAGTATTTTTTACTCATTTATACCAATAAAAAGCATAAAAATTGTAAGAGAAAATTGTTGGTTTGAATTCTATTATTTCAGATTTAAAATATTATTTTTTAAAAGAAGGAGATACAAATTTCCTTACAGCATAGGAAAACCTAAACAAATATCCAGACCTGAAAGCATGCAACAGCTTTATAATTATTTAGGACATTAATTATGCCTGATAAACATGCTAAATTTTTAAAAATAAATCTCAGTTTCAGAAATAAAAATATCTAAAAATTCTAATTTGTGAAATGAGGTGCTATCACCAGCTTTTTCTTGAAAATTATACTCGCTGCATACTCCTCCGGATGTGGGCAAGGTGACAGCCGGCGATACGCCAAGGCAAGGGAGAAAACCCATTTGGGTTGGTATGTTTCTTATAAGGTCCATGGATACATATCAAACAATGCTAAATTAACAGAATAATTAAAAATATACATGAGATCTTTCAGAATCGAAAAATGAATTTTAGTGATAGTGAAAAAATAACTTAAATATTGAACTTATGGAGAAGTCGAGAAATTTTGTAATTGATAGTAAGTTTGAATAATTATTGGATACGTGTCAGCTAAACGTTACTGTCAGCTTTGTGTCCTATAGACTAAATGTGTTGACAGTTAAGTGTTCCGTAACTAAACGTCTTGACGGCTAACTCTCTGTGTCAGCAAAATGTCCTGTCGGCTAATCGGCTAACTGTCCGTGTCGGCTAAATGTCCTATCGGCTAAGTGTCCTTGTCGGCTAAGTGTCTTGTCGGCTAACTGTCCGTGTCGGCTAAATGACCTGTCGGTTAAGTGTCCGTGTCGGCTAAATGTCCTGTCGGCTAAGTGTCCGTGTCGGTTAAATGTCCTGTCGGCTAAATGTCCTGTCGGCTAAGTGTCCCTGTCGGCTAAATGTCCTGTCGGCTAAGTGTCCATATCGGCTAAGTGTCCCTGTCGGCTAAATGTCTTGTCGGCTAACTGGTGTCGGTTAAGAGTCCGCGACCGATTTTTTACCCTAGCAGCCATGTGTGTTTACATTTCAAACGTAGCAGAATATTGGATTTGTTGTCAATCTAAAGAAAGTAAGCTTCGCAACAACAACAGTTTCTTTTTTATTTGTCTAATTTTTTATACATCGTTTTAGATTTATTATAGCATTTGAATAGAACTTGTGGCAACGATTAGATAATTTTTCAGATAATATAATTTTTGCGCATTTTGAGTTATAAAATGAATAAGATATAACGTTGTATGCGAACCTAGCCCCAAGGTGTCGCTATGGTAAATAAATATAGCGAATTTTAAAGAGTGCATTTATTCTATTGTGGTTTATGCGCTATCGATGAAGTAGATTTAATTCAATTCAACAAGTTTAAATGAAATGCAGGAAAAAATACCTATAATTTAATATTCCGTGCAAGGAAGTCATGTGAAGTACACATAAGATTTTTTTAAGAAATAAAGACACACAGTATTCATGATAATCGATAGTTTGGATTATCAGTGTTTTTCTGTTTTCCGTAAATTGCTTCCCAGCATTAGCTCGAATAATCGAGAGTGTACTGTGTATGTTTACCACCAACGTTTCTGAGAAAGAAGGTAGGGTGAAGATTTTTATGTATAGCCGCGCACAGAGAAAGGCGTTTGGTTGTTAAATTAAAAAAGCTTAAGTGTCATAGTGAATTGTTACCACTATTCTGACGCTGCAGCATTCAAGTTCCAGTACTTATTTGCCATTCCGATACTAAGTTCTGAGCGGTATCGGACGTAATGTATGACGGTTTATATTCGTAATCACAAATCTGCACACTTAGCAAAATTTTCAGTCAGATGATGCTTATGACTCACGATTTCTTGTCGGTTACCTGAAACTGGGCGTTACTTATACGCATGTGGTGGATAGAATAACTGACACATTTTAGATTGTTTCACTGTAGTGTGATAAAAAATACTGAGCAATGTTCTGTTAGACTTCAAACTTTCAATGCACACTGTATCAGAATTTGACGCAGACGGTATTAGCGTTTTATCATTATTGAAGAGCATTCCCCCCCCTAGTTGTATTGGGTTCTTTTCATTTTGCAGCTTTCTGTTTCCTCGGAATTTTCTGTTAGTATCCGTGGTTCGAGTCCCGGCAAGGGCTTTGCTCTCTCCTGCTTTCGAAATAACCGAATGTTTCTACAAGATGACTCTCAATTACCATTCGGTTTGATTCGATAATTCGAGCGGTGACGATGTTTATTTAGGTTTGGTTTGGACAATATTGCTTCCTAATTGTATTCAATGATACATGCATCCAAAACAACTGCCAGTCTTTAATTTTCAATACGTTTTTAGATATTTTGTTATATATGCGTCTTCTACATTAGTTCGAATTCGACAGTCATGGCAACAAGAATATTATTTTCAAAATTACGGAACCCAATAAGAATGAAATAGGACGAAGGAGTTAGTTAAAGTGAAGATGGGTTCGACTTTTTGTTCATGAGGAACTAAATTACGTCATAGAGTACTTGACGGTAGAGAGGAAGATATTTAGCATTGAACTAAGCGATGATTCTTAGCGATGAACTAAGAAGAAGGCGAAAAATCAGGGTAATAGAATTAGTGAATGTGAAAGCCATAGTAATTCCGCAGAAAAGATAGAAAATTCAGAATGAGTAACTTGCACAGAATCCGAAGAAATACCGCAAAAAATACCGTTTCTATCCGGCGAAAACTCCGCAGGACCGCAAATATCTTCAGACATAAAAGAGTCGTCAGATTTTCGTGAAATCATTATAATTATATTATTAGTTGTAAGAAATTCACCAAATATGCGGAAAATGATCTTGAGTTGCTGGTTCGCCCGAGCGAAAAATGCTTCGAGTGCAAAAGGTTAAATTTATCCTACATTCTGTGTACTAAGACATGAATTTTTCCGATCCTTCTTTGTTATCTAATTCTAATTTGTCTGTATGCAACCTGAAAGGTTTGACTTGTTTTGGTAGCATGAAGTAGTATCAAACTCTTAACAGACGTAAAGTGAATTATCTCTATGTCTGGACACAACTCCAAAGTCTTTTTTTTAAATCAAAACTAGAACTTAAATGCGTGACTCGTGCTTACAATTCAGCCAACCACTTTTGGCGATGTAACGTCAAGTAAGAGTAAGTTCAAATTTAATGCTCTGCTAGTAGTCAAAGACACAATTCCGTTTAACGCGAAGCTGGCTCACAAATCTAACTGGCGCAAGTATTTAAGTGTCAGCATTATAATGCAAAGCCGATGAATAAAATCTTAACTGAGTCAACAAAATCTTAGTAACGTGGCCTCGGTAACAGACCTTAGTAACGAGGCAGAACACGCTCTGTCTTAAAACCCAACAATCTCGGCTTAAATACCCTAAACTAATTTGCATTCTGATAGGGAAACGGAAGGTAGAAGTAACAGTAAAGCTCTAAATCATAGTAAATGGTTTAGTTAATATAAAGGAACGTTATAAACCTTACTCTCAAAAGTTTCTAACACTTATCTAAATCCTCCTGTGCATGGGTTACGCTCTTGAAGGTTCCAGAAGAGAAATCTGTCATTTTTGAAATTAGTAGAACACAGATTAATTGTAAGCTTCGTTTTGTAGATATACAAAGTTACGGCTACGGTTAATAAATGTTTATGTAAAACGCAAGTTATTGTGCTTTTAGTCAATCATCTAAGCTAACCAATTCTAATTTCAGCCACTTTTCGACATATACGCGATGATGTGGCGCGGGATGAAGTTCGTCGAAGTTATGAAAATGTGTACAGGAAGGTGGCAAAAACTGCATGACGTCATCTGTGAGATGCAGTAAACAGGTAATTACAGTTTTACAAACGGGAATCATCCCTGTACGTTAAGAATAAAACTGCCAAACTAGGCTAGTTCTACTAATTTCGAAACCATCGGGTTTCTCAACCAGATCCTCTATTAGACTTATTTTCTTCCTTTTCCTGTGTTCCTATTTTCATCAATATATTTAGGGTTATTGAAGTAATGCACATGCGCAGAATAATTTGCTCTTAAAGATAATAAGTAAATCACTTGCTTGTATGTCAAAATGTGGCCTTAGTAGCCGAACGGTTAAAGCTGCGGAACACCGGTAATTCTTTCTTGATTGTTCTTTTTGTGTTCTTTGCGATTTTCTTTTGCAGTTTTCTTTTTTGTAATGTAAGTACCAAGTACCTTTCCTGAGAAACTTCTCTCTCAAGGCATGTAGACTACAGATGCTTTTCTTAGGCATGTGTACTACAGATGCTTTTCAGATGAATAAAATTTAACTTGTAGTAATTTATTAAAATGCATTAAGAATTTTGAATTGAAATTTTAATAACTATTGAAATTTCAGCAAATATTAAATGTGTTAAGGATATCAGATATCAACAAAAATCATCTACATAACATGCGTGAATTTGCAGTAGTATAGTTTCGAAGGCTAATTAGAAACTTCCTTCTTCAGCTACAAGAGTGAAAATGACGACCAAGAAACTTCTACTCCCACAATAGTAACAAACATGTATTGGCAAAAGCATGAAATTAAAACAACTATGAAATAATTTCTTGAAAAGCTGAAGGCACAGGCGGGTATAATTCAGATCACTATTCAAAACTGAAATATTTTTGAATGAGAAACTCCTCTAGAAGATGTAATTCACCAACGTAAGATGTTTTCTGAATAATTTTGGCTGCAGAAGAGCAGAAGAGAAAATTTTGGCTGTGATCTTTTGACCAGCAGTGTTGGACAATTTAGGGTTTATGAATTTGTTTTTAAAGAAGATGTCGAAAGATATGTCTCAGGCTTTTTGTTAATATTTATTACCCTTAACATTTATTTTTGACATGTTCTTTTGGTTATAATTAGGTATTAATGTAATTGTATTTTTTTTTTCCTATATACAGCTTAATTTTAAGTCCATAAAGAATTTGCATGTTTATAGAAGTCAGAAATCAGACAAATCGATATAACAGTGTCTGATTTGCGCAGTGTTTAGTTTTCCATATTGTACCAATTCAGAAGTCAAACAACAAAAATCAGCGTTATTGTGTCTTAATTTCCATATTGTATTTAAAACATTCAATTCTGTATTTTATTTCGAGCTCCAACTTGCATTCTGTTTTAGTGTTTTGCATCCCTATTAGTGCTTATATTTTCCCAAAGCTATTTGTATCACTCCTATATTCCGTCACGCCTATATTTTAGGAGTGACGGAATATATAGCCACTATACACAGTGTAACTGATTTCTGCCAGCCATTTTCAGTTACCAGCTCGAATTACCATTCTTTCGTCGTTTATCGGTGGCACTGAGTGCTTGTTTCATAGTTAGCCCGCTAATGACCCAAAACCATCATCATCTACAAATTAAAACCTCAGTAGTTGTACGTCTGACGCATCATAGTATAACAACGGTCGCAGAGGGCTTTTTTGAGGTGAGGCTTAAAGGGATACTTTGTAATACTTAAGGGATCATTCATCTGTAGAGGGAATTTTTCTATATCGATAGTAAAAGGTCACAGTGAGAGGTTTTGATTTTTTTTTTCAGTGCAATAACTTACAAAAGTAGTCATTTAATGTATTATTGTCAGCAGAGGAAGCGATTTAGTGCCTGTTGTTGGTAATACTCACTTGTCTGACCTATAGTTGGCCCTAGTGTTGCCAGAAATTTTTCAACTAATACTTATTTTCTTTAACTTTTTAATCTGATTAATTGTTTTTAAAAAAGCCTTTCTGTTTCTTCAGCATTCATTACGTTTAGCTTGTCTATCGTATACATGATGCTTATAAAGTCTCTATACGTTTTTGAGAAATGCGTTCTAATTCCAATTTCTTCGGAGGCGATCTGAAAGAATGCTGTCAACGGAAGAAAGAATAACTATTGTTTGTGTTCTTGCACGTGGATTAACGTATCAGCAGCTGTAGGAGGAGTTCCCCCGCAAATTCAGAAAACGAGCCTCTACCAGAGGAGCTATTAAATCCTTGGTAACCAAATTCTAGTGTTAAAGGTGAAGACCGTCTGCTATAACGCCACAAGTTGAGCAAAACGTACAATAAGCGAGTAAACCTAGTCATCAGGCATCTACACCAAGACTCAGCCGGGAACTCGGTATTTCGCATACTATTGTTTGGAAACTCTACGCTGTCATTTAAACAAGTGTGCCTACTACATTCAAACTTTGCATAAGCTTGAAGCGGAGGACTATGCAAGTCAGCAAGCCCTGTGTTATGATTTTTTGGGAGCTGTGGAGCATGAGAATTTAATGAAGAATGTTCTCTTAAGCGAAGAAACCACATTCCATCTCAGCGGCCATATTAATTGTCGTAATTGTCGAATGAGGGCTGTTAAACAACCAAACGTGTTATATGAATCTCAGGGATACACACGTCAAGTTAATGTATAGGCTGGAATAACCATACGTTAACTCTGAATGAATACCTGTGGACTTTTCATGTTTGCAGAAAGACCATCACTGGAATAATTTATCTCTTTAATGTTGCAACAATATCTTAAGCCACAGCTCGTATCAGAGAGCATTATTGACACTATTGTCTACCAATAGGATGGGCACCTCTCCATTTTGCTATTATTGTGCGTAATTATCTTAAGAAACCTTTCCTGATAGGTGGATTTGTCGTGGCTCTCAACTTCTTTGGGCTCTACAATCACCATAATTAAATACCCTAGACTTTTTCGTATGGGGTTTTGTCAAGTCCAAAGTGTACCGAGTGAATACTGGCAGCATTGAACAATTAACGCATAACATTACGGCCGCAGTAGCTGAAATTGTACCAATAACTTTACATAAGGTGTTCCGGAGTGTAGTGGAATGGTGGCAATTGTGCCCAGACACACAGGGGGAAAGGCACATTGGATTGTACTAATTTAGGGCTCTAGTATGTTGTTTTTTAATGTAAATACCTTATATTTCAGAATAAAGCCTGTTTAATCAAAAATGTATAGAGACTTTATAAACAACCTGCCCCCTATTGGCTTAAGCCCCTTTCTGGATTTTTCTAGTTCTTTTGATAAAGATTCGCTAGGCTTCGCTGCATACGTAAAAAAGAAAAAGGATTTTATTACAAAAAATGTATATGACGATTTCTAAGTAATAGCCATTGTGTTCCCCTCATCGGTTTCTTCAATACAAACGGAAAAAATGAAACAATCAGTATTTGAGCCTGTATCTGTACTGCCAATGCACGCCGTGTCTACAAAACTCCTCTTCTGGCCTTTATTTTCGCAAACTTAGATCATAAGTACATATCTAAAATGTCCCTTAATACAAATATTAATTATCCTAATAAATACTTTTGCCTTCTGTCGACAACCGTCCAGTATCCAAGTGAAACTTTAAATTTAAAAACTGTACAGAATTATCGCCCTCATTTTTCCGAGTGGCAACAGTGCTGATATCAGCAACAATGGCTGTGTGCCATTGTTGCTGATACAATGAGAGAGAATTACCGATTTGATGCGATTTCATCAAAAAACGTAATATAAAAAAACTCATTCGAATTTTGAAAAAAATCGTTTCCAGCTGCATTGTTGTCTATATGCACCTATGTACCAAATTTCTTAGCCTTGGATCTATTAGTTGTATGCACAGCAAGAACGAAACACACAGACTCTTCCTCTTATATACATAAATAATTTAGGCAGCTTGTCTATTGAAAATGCATCTTCATTTAGTCTCGTGTCAAAACTTAAAGCTGAAATATATATTATTTTAAAAATATTCTTTACATTAACATCGAGCCCACTTATTTATATTCCTTTATCTATTGTAAAATTCTGACTTTATGATTAACAGTACAACGAACATCACAGCATGGAGGCCCTCATTAGAATGAAGACTGTCAGACGAACTGAAGTGAAATATCCTCGACACTCGATATTCTATTATACTGACGACGTGAAGCAAAATATCCATTCGCGAGAGAAATATCTCGCGGGAGATAGTTGTCTGTTTTCAAGTTATTCATCTCGCATATGGCTTTCACCTTCCTGTAAATTAAACGGGTGCTTTTAGAAGAGACGCAGACTTTATTATCGATTCACTTCCCCCCCCCCGTTTGCGTAAAATGTCTGAAAGTTATTTTAAATTTAAGTCGTGCTTATCACCATATAGTGTAATTCAAGTTGTGGAAGTGCGAAGAAAATGACTGAATTTATTTATAATATAGTGTAATCTAAAATTCGGTAAGCAATGAACAGATTTTATACGTCATTCAATTTATATTGTCCTGTAACAAAATAAGCACAAATATGCATAAATTGATAAGATTTTTTATTCATTGTTTTTAGCCCAAAGGACAATTTGTCCAGAAGGGTTATAATTTCGTTTTGGCATTTTGCGTTGGTTCACTATAAACGGCATTTCACTTTTCAGATTGTAGCCAACAAATATTATCGCCCTGTATTATATTTAAAAAAATTTAATAAAGAAGAATCTGCGTGAATGTATGTATCTTCCTGGCAATGTGAAAAAACAATGGTACCTAGAGACATCGGATTTTGAATAACTTAGTCCTTTACTCGAATATGGGCATCTGGGAAACATAATTTGGAATTTATTTTATTATATATTTCATATTCTGTAAAAATTTAACGAATTTTTGATTAACAAACTCAACGATTTCAAAGCGATCAATGGCAAGACTGTACGGGGGAAAGAGAAATTATCTCCAGCGCGCGAGACTGTGTATCGGAAATTTTAAACATATGGCATTTTAAAATTATTTTATGTTATTTATATTGAAAAATTAATATAAATTGAATTTTATGGTTTAAGTGCGGAAAACGTGATATTTAATAAATAAA